GAGGCGTTGCTTGGCGGGCTGTGGTGGGAGGTGTGAGGTTGTTGAACGCTCCCCTCCTCCACATCCCACACCGCGGCCACCGCGCAGCGCCCGCCGCCCAGAGTGCGCTCAAACACATTATGTCCCCGAGGAGGCGAGGTCTATGTGGTGCGGCCCGGCTTTGGCCGCCCCCCGATCTAACAAATCCAATTTGACGCTGAAAGGCGCCCGGTTTCCGTACTTGCCTGCTGTAAAACAGACACATTTACATAGTTTTCGCTATCCTGTCTGTGCGCCCAAAACTGATTCGACGAGCGCAACACACATTTTCTTCCGACAATAGACCCGCTCCACCGCACTCCGCGCAAATGAAAACCGCTCAGCTGTTCCATTTTCGTCGACAAATACAATTTTCAGCGATGAAAAGAAAGCAATATTAATATTGCGGCGTGCTTTGCACGCTGTACTCATGCGATGAGAGCGAACTGCGAACTGCAGAGGAGTGTCGCAGCACCGCCTCCGGCTCTGTTTGCGCGAGTAATTGGAGAGCAGTTCAGGTTCAGCTGTACAGACGGCACAGTTTTGCACGCGGTGTTTGAGCTTGCGCGCTGGCCGCGGGGGAGGAAGAGGGAGATGAAGGCGTTGGCGTTGACTGACGCGCGATCCGAAGAGCGTGGGGATCTTGTTTCCTGCTGTGTTTTGTCGTTAACCCTCTCTCGCCAGAAACTCTCGCAGAGAGGGGGGCAAAATAATAATGATAACTTTGAAAAAAAATAATATATACATATATAAATGTCACGAAGCAAAAGAGAAACTTTTGGGGCGTCGGGCGCGCAGAACGCGAAAATTGGCCGTGCGATTTACATGGGGAAATAAGCTGGCGACCCTCGCTCCCCGCCCGCCTCACCCCGACCCGCCTCGCGCCGCCCGGACCAGCCTCGAGCCTCGCCCCACCCCCGGCGGCCCCGGCACTGTCAACCGCTGTCGTCTCGACTTAGCTCGCCCTTCAGGCCTGAGCGAGCCACTGTATGACTCGTGGCGGGTCGTCGGGCGAGGGGCGTTATTGGTCCAGGTGGTTTCGGGAAATCCTTGCTTTCTCCCTAATATTTCTTGACATTCGGGGGGGGGGGGGCACCCCCCCTATATGTTCTAGAGGGGGCGAGTCACCCCCCTGCACCCCACTTCCGACGGCCATGGGGACCGAGTATCTGAGTGCAATCTTACAGCCTAGCATTGCAAACTCATTCTTCCCAAGTTTGCAAAATTATATACGATATTTAAAGTCGTGTATAGTTACTAATATCAAGAACGCGGAGGTATTTTGCCTCCTCCCTTAGTCTTAAGACCATAGTTCCGATAGAGCATCGAGTTGGTATTCCCGTTTGCGTCTACGACAAGCGATCGCAACTTCAGTCATTAAAGGCGCGAGAGGGCAGCAGGGGGGAGAGAGGGGGAACTAATCACGAAGCACCGAGGTATGATAATGACGGGGTAGAGGAGAACCTCCGCCGACCTCCGCACCGCCCGGCGCCGAACCCCCCGGCCAACTCAAACAACTCAGCGGATGGAGGACATCACTCTAAAGAAAAACAGAAAAAAGACGGCCGCTGGCGTTTGGTGGTAGGGGTATGGGGACATAACAAAAACTAATTAGTTTAGCAGACGACACGCCCAGAGAGAGAACGACGCCATATTTCTAGTTAGCACCAACTGGATTTCTATTTTTTATTTTTTTATGTTGATTCGAATCCAAGCAATCAAATTTTTGGCGCCATTTCCCGCGTTAATTTTCATGCGTTCCTTTGTACAAAAACACGCATTTTTGCGCACACATTTGCACAAAAAACACGAACGTTTGCACGGAATCGTACAAATAAGTGTGAAGCGAGAAAGGGGAGGGGTTAGGGTACACAAGGAGAAATAACGGCTGCGTGTGGACACATTGTAAACGAAATGAGTTTGTGCTACCTCGTCAAAATTTACTTTGCGTGGAGAAGGGTAGCGTTACGGAGGAGGGATGGAGGAAAGATGGGCGATAGTTGCTCTGGCCGTGTTTGTTTCAGACTGTTTCAGCTTGCTTTGCTGGACAAATTTGGCTACGCGAACTAACATGACAAAAAAAAACTAAGAAAACGGAGACAGACAGAAAAAGAACCATCGAGAAGTTATCACGCGCTGCACACCGCTCTATACCCGCACCCGTTTGTCGCAAACCGCCCCTTCCGCCAAACGGACTTGCCAGCCAATTCGCCGCTTCGCTGGCAATTCCGTTCGGCAGGGGTCGGGCCTGTTTGGCAAACGGTAAGAGATAGAGCCAAACGGACGAAATTTGGGGTCGAAGCGAAGCGTTCTACTTGGACAAGTTCAATAGAGGAGTTGCACACTTTAGTGCACATCCGAGGGGGTTTACACTCGGAATTTTTGTGTACAGTAGTGTATTACATATTACGTGTATCACGCGGCATTGCGCAAGTATTTGCACAGGCTTTGCAACCAAAATTCTAACATTTTAGAGCATATTTTCCTATTTTTCGGTATTACACTACGCGTATCACCTAATTTAGGTGTACAGTGTACTATTAAGCGTACGCAGTTGAAAACCTCCTCAACCACATCGGTATACCGAATTCAACACCACTGTAAAAACTGTCGTAAGGAAAGATCGATTTGTCAACGGTCCCTCCCGTAAATTTTATGTTCGGGCCAGACCGTAAAGATATGGACAGTGCTTCAGAGTGCAAGTCAAGTGCTATACTGACCAATACGACAGTTTGCGCAGTCACGGTACATCCCGTTTAAAGTGGACCGTAATCCAAAAATTCTTGAGAAAAACTCATGCATACTTCACAAAATTATTTATCGCGCCGACAGTAGGCTTTAGCAGGGTAGCCAGCCAGTTTATGGCGTGTTTTCTAAACTTTGATGAAAATTGCGAGGGGGGCGCGTCGGGGCGTGCGTTCGTTACTGTGGTGTGCTTCGAGGGAGGGGGATGGGGGCGGGATAGGGTGGTTCGGGTTAGGGTGAGATGGGATAGGACGGGGTCGCGTGGGGTGGGGTAAGAGAGGCTCCTATCCTCTTTTCCCCTGCCGGGACTTCGTAATTTAATGTTGCACGGGTGTTCGCGTTAACTAGACTTAGCCGCGCGTTTGTGTGCCGGAGGTCCCTGCGGGGTGGTCTCGGCTGTGCCCGAGCGGCCTTCTGCCCCGTCCTGCCCAACTCCGTCCGGTCAGCACACACACTCACACATCGGTAGTAGGAAGTTCCCGTCCCAAGGGACTCGACTACTAAATTTTTCGTCCCAATTGATGACTATACGACCCCTAACCCCCCCTCGACTCCAACTGAACCGATCCCAGCGGGGCCGTCCCCAACCTCGTACCCTCCCACACCTCCGCCAGCAAGCGTCATCGCACGAAATATAATCGCCCGCTCTGCCCGCCCGTCCGTCCGTCCGTCCGTCCGTCTGCTTGTCTGCCTGTTTGTCTGTCTGTCGGTGAATTTCACCGCACCTTACAGTGAATCCTGCTGCAGCACTCTTAGTTACAGTAAATTTTCACCGTAAGACTTTAACTGGTGCTTGCACGCAGCTCTAGCAGCTCCGCAACGCCAGGGTAATGGCTCGCGCGCCGGACTAAAGCTCCTCTGGTGGTCTTTCCCTGTTTGCACACGGGCAACAACGGGGTGGTTCCCATTCCGGGCGGTCGGTATCAGCCCCCAGATGTTGTTTGCAGAGTTGATTCCAGGCGTCTTAAACCGTCTCGCTAGCAGCACACACCTCCGTAAGAAGGCACGCGTAAAAGTCGATCCATGGGGGGTTGAGCTCAATGGCAATCGCTTTACCTGGTTTGGTTTGACCTGGATTATATCTCTCCCGTTTATGCACGAATAAACCAGATTATAACTATACCAGATGGCTGATTCACCCCGCTCACTCCTGTAGTCATGCTGTACCGCACGCACGAGTGCGGGCGGGTTGCCTACTCGGTCGACCCGTAAGGCGCGCGGACTGGGGCGATGGGCAAGTCCGCCCGAACTCCCGCGTGCGGTACAGCATGACTACAGAAGTGAGCGGGGTAAATCAGCCATCTGGTATAGTTATAGGCTCAGTTGTTTAGTTACAGTCTTAGAAAGTCAACCATTACCGTCTAACCCCGGGGTTAGTACCTATAATACAGGTGTCCTGTGGGACTGTCCTCTTGGAATTTTAGAGTAGGCGGATTGTGACACACAACCTCGAATTAACAGTGTACTCTGCCCCTGCACTCTAGGTTCTGCGTACTCCACCAGTACTCGGGCACTCGTCGGACAGTTTCATTAATAGTACACTCACTACTTATACTCAACTCACCCTGCACTCAACTAAGGCACTCCACCCGCACTCGGGCACCAGTCGTCAGACAGTAGACGCTCTTATACCCTGCTACCCTGCACTCTAGGCACTCTAACCGCACTCGGCGGGCACTTCCGTCAGAGGTAGTGACAGTGCTCACCTTGCACTCCAAGCTCTGCACCCGCACACTTGTCAGACAGAGGCAGTGACCAGCTCTCCTTGCTAGACTGGCTTTATAAATGGGCGGCTCGGACGAGGTGCGCGTCCGTCCTCAGCAACACGCCGTGTCCTCCTGAGCGCACAGTCGAGCCCCCTCGGGCCCGGGCGCATCGCCGGACTGCGCTGGAGTGGCCCGGCCCGGCCCGGCCCCGCCGGAGTGTTCTCGAGGGTCCCTGGTGCTCCCGTTTGTTTCGGGCGTGCGTGGACGCGCCCCCCTCCGCTCCACGCGCCCCACACACTGAGTGCTCACCTTGTGTGTTGTGGTCGGCGACGCCCCGCCGAGCCGCGCCGCGCCCCACCACGCTCACGCCATGCCGGGCACGCGGCTCCACGCGGCCACGCCTGGTGGGAGAGCACGCTCGCTGGCGCCTCGCGCACGCTCGCGCCGCGCGCACGCTGGCCGCGCGCGCGGGGGGAGCCGAGCGGGGGCGCGCTGCCGCAGCGGGGCTGGGTCGGGACCTTGGCTCGCGGCGGCTGGGGTGCAACTGGCTGGAGCAAGAGGCGAGGCGGGGCGCCCGTCCTCGTTGCCGCCCCCACG